AATCAACTTTTTTTACTATTAAGTTCACCGTGAGCATCCCATAAATTCATTTCTACCATTTTTGTAAAAGGATGTTTAAACCCATGTGATACTTCCAATATTTTCAAAGCTTCTCGAAGTAATTCAACAATTTTATTAATATCAACATTATCCATCGACATATGTATTCTCGCAGTAGCGTAAATTTGAATTCCAAGTAAAGGATGTGCTCGAGAATATAAAATGCGATAAGCTTCAACAATTGCCAAAGAATGAGAAAGCGCTGTTGGCCAATCATTTAAATTACAATAGATATCAAACAAAGCTTTACGAGTAGATATTAAATTATAATTAGCCATATGGAGAAGCGGTTTTTGAATTTCAAAGGCTTGTTTAAAATATGACATGGCTTGTAAATTGTCTATAGAAAGTATAATATGAGTCACTGAATTAAAGATTATAAATCATATAAAGTTTATACATGAATTCTAACCTTGATCGCGTAAATTCGTGCCCTTTTCATATAATTGAAGAGACTTGGATATGTGTTTCTCCACATCTGCTACATCGTATCGTATATTGCGGGAACAGACCTTACATGTTGAAGTATATTCTTCTTCACCTAAATCCAATGAACCTACCAATAAAAAAAAACCATTTAATGATGTAATCAATAACATATTTATCCTCAATAATGTAAATTACTTGGTGGTTCAATAGCATTAGAACATTTAGAATTTTGACATCTCAGCGCACTTCGCGGGTCAATATTATCTTTAGACTGTTTATTAAAATTTTATGTAATTAGAATTGTTTAATAATTTGAAAGTAAAATGGAATTATCGAATTTAATATTACCTTATAGTATTCGCAAGATTCACAATTGCACGAAAAAAAGTATTGCTTTCGCAATTCTTTACGCCGTTCTTCTACTGGTAGACTCAAATCTACATAATTAATAACTAGCTACAAATATTGCAATTATTAATATATTATTCTGCAGAAGTATGCAAAAGAATTCTCCGGTCATATGAAATTACCTCCTGATCATTATTTATTGGTTCTATGCATCGAACCATTAATTTCGAATTTTCAAAAATAACAACACAATTAGGATGACAAGAATGATTTAATAAAGAAGCATTAGGATAAATGCCGACTCCAAAAGCAATCATTTCTCCATCCAAGATAGAAAAACTATTTTCGGTCATCTTTATGAGAAAAAAAAAATTATAATTTTTTCGAAGTGGACAACTTGATTTATTCATATAGTATTATTACCCGACAAAATAAATCTAGCATTTCTGAAGCTGATAGCAAAGCATCTTGAGATATACATTCTCGAACTACCATAGACATTTGTGCGAATGTTTCTATTTGTTCTTGTTTAAACATTGTTCGATCTAAGTAATGCGACTTGTGTCAAGGAAATAATATGACTAGAGGTATGCCACGTACATTACCATGCGTATAGTACGTGGAAATTTTTTTGCCGACTCATTAAATTGTTAACGTACTGTACGTGAAAAAAATTCAGGCATCACATTAATAGTATATCTCTAAATATGGCCATAAATGTGGATGCATGTAGAGGAAAAAGAACATTAAAACAAATCAGGATACTGGTTTGGAGGTTTTCAATATCCTTGAACTAAAGGATAGACAACTTAATTGGAGAGAAGAAATGAGTATTGCCAACCACATAAGTAATATAATACTAACAGATGTCGGATCGTTCATTCGATGTATCAATATTCGACATATTAAGCGAATTGAAGTTGGTGGTGTTCTTTTTAGCCTGACAAATGGTTTACATTCATACTCGTGGTATAATCGATCCTTACGTTTACATTCCTAATCGTTGTGAAATTTTATACAAAAATATATTATTACTATGATTATTATTATTGTATTATAATTTAAGCTGATATTTTTCGTACCTCAGAGCAATAGTGAATCACGTTACAACTTGAACAACATAATAGTCTACCACCTTTAGAAAGACAACCACTGCAAGCTACAGAAAGATTGGCATCCTCCACCACAGCCACATAGAGAGTATCTTGAATGATAAGGTCACCTACCAAGCAAGATCACCAATGCTTATCTTGAATAAACATGAATGATTTGGAATATGAAAATATTGAATATATATGAAACCTTATGCATTTTTTTAAAAAAAAATACCAGGTGATATCTTTTGCATTGCATAAATCCCTCTTCCTGAACGATCACAAGTTTTAACGCAAACTTTCTTATTTGCAATTTTCAATATATTAGTTTCCATTTGAAAAGTTTGATTTAAATCTTTCAAAATTTGTTGAATGATTATCTACGTATATATTTCAGTATTTAAAATTATCAGTCACTATAGAAAAAATTATTAACCAATTAAATTAAAGTGAATTTACAATAAGGACTATAGTTTTTGTAGTCTACCTTAATTTATCGAATAGACTAAGTCGATATTTAAAAATCGGCTTATCCGACTATGGTCGGGTCGATGACTCTGATTGGTTAATTGATGGCACGTGATAATGAACAAATATGATTGGCTGGTCGTAGAGAAATATATCGATATCAGGTATGTTCGTAGATAGATAAGGCTTCATATTAATATATATTATACTCGAATTTGGAAAGGTTTTTTGAAATCAAAAAACTAGTTGGTTAGCTTTTAAGATCTTGGTGAACTTGGGTTTTTAACAGAATATTGTGTAAGTTTTATTTCTTTTATTTCAAGTTGTATATTAGTTTAATATATATAGAGTCTCAAAAGTAGAAATTAGAGAATTTTGCTAATCACGGGTTTTGAGAAAACTGGCAAAAATTATGTTGTTACACTAAATCAAAACAATCTAAAAATAGTTTATTCTATATTAACAAATCTGTTTAAACAAGATTATTAGATTTGTAAATTTTTTTTTTTTATTTTTTGACAGTCTTGCCAGTGCTACAATAAAAATATTTACATGGTGAAATCTGTCTTAAAAACTAAAACCTATTTCTAGTAAATGTCTTTTGCAATTATGAGCCTGGCATCACCTGGCTACAGATACTGCACCCAGATACAACTTGTCGCACTGACTCATATACGTGTCAGAAAACCTTGTCAGCCTGTCAAGAACTAATCCTTTCAATCTTTTTTTCTTTACTGAGAGCACAAGAAAGTAAAATTCTGTATTACCAATACAAAACCAACATTAAGAAGCAAAAAGGAAACTAAAACTAAAAAAAAAAACATATAAATGAAATGAGAATCAAAAAGGAAAATAAATAGAGAAACAGGGAAATATAAAAAAAAAAACAAAGAGAAAAGCCTCTATAGGCTAACCAATTCACCTCTATTAAGAAGCAGTTTGTGGTCAAATAATAAAAATTATATAAATAATACAACTATAGTATATCTCGATTGTAAAGTTTTACTTTATCTAGAATCTTTTTTCTAACATATGACCAAATCCAGATGTAAAATAAATGGAAAGTCCCAGTTCTCTGTAAGGTAGCACCATATTTATTGTTATGATTACTCCAAAACATGTAGTTGCAATCCACCTGGTTGTCTAGATTTGGAAAGAGTAAACAATGCCGATCTTCTAACAGGAGTAAGCTGTTTTGCCTACTTTTTTCAAAAATTTTATTGAAAGCACAAGTAGGTGATAGCAAAGACAACAGGCCAGAGTAAGCATCAAAACAAGGAGTGTAAGAGTTTATATTATATAGAATAGTATATTTATCCAAGCTTTTATTCTTGCGCTTGCTTTGATATAACTTGACAAAAACTTTCTTGGTTATTATCAAAGCTACTTGTTCGATAGCTCCATAGACTTCTACCGGAAAGCCAAACCTACAAGAAGCTATCTTTTTTAACTTTATTTTATAGTACTTACATACAATCTAAAACTTTTGAACTCAGATGCTATTTGGCAAAGTTTTGTTATGAAAACATACTAACTACACAATATTCATAGGTCAGTATTAGTGGAATTTTTGGTGCGAGGAATCATCAGAAAGAGTTGATCATATTTAGATTTGTAAATTACTATTATACTAGTATATATTTATATTAGTAAATCTATTTTTAGATTGTATATAGTGTCAAAAGCTTTTAACTATTATATATATTGCAAAAATTTACTATATTAAGTGATTAGACTTTTATTATCAAGTAAAAAAAATTAGGCTTTAAATTTTACACCTGATTAATTAAACAAACAAAAAATTATCAAATTTTTTGGTTTTTACTTTTAATAGCTTATATAATCAAATAATTTTACTAAACTATATTTTAATTATTATAATAAATACAATTTAATATCTAATTTTTGTATACAAATACAACTCTTCTTGATGATTTCTTGTACCAAAACTTTACAGAAAAACTAAACTATAAAAACCTTATATATATTGTATTTTATATAAACAAAACTTTATTTAGCTACTATTAGATACAAAGTTTATTTACTAAGAATTCTGTTTATTAAAATAGAGCTAAAAAAAGATTAATAGCAGATGGTTAAGTAAGGCATCTTAGTGAGTTATAGTATTACTAAGCAAAGAAGTAATAGAACAACTCTAGAGCTTTGTTAAGTACTAAGATATAAAAATATAAGTAGTTACTTGTTAAAATACAATATTCTATATAGCATAACTTACTATATATATACTTTAATATACTTTATCTTACTCTTTTGGTTTTTATTATCTACTTATCTTGGCAACAAAAAAATTTTTAGAAAAAGTAAACAAAATAGTTTACTTCTGCCAAAAGATCAGTATTGTTTATAGTTTTCAAATTCAAATAATATATATAGTAGATAGCAACTATGTGTTTGGTTTAAATAAGTATTAAACTACTATTTTGAGTCAATTCTAAATCAAAGTAACTTTAGAAGTAATAGCAGGTAGTTTGAAATATAGATTCTTAGACAGTAGCAATATTTGGCTTGAAATACAGACTAAGAGTAGATTGGCTAAAAATTTTTAAACTTGATTTGTCAAGATAAAAGAAAATTTTAATAGTAAAGTTTTACAATAGAGATATACAATATAAGTATTGCTTTATAAAGTAGTATATAATTTTTTAAACCTTAATACAGATTATAATAGTGTTATCTTTTTTGTTATATATATATTTTTTTATACTTTTTTTATCTTGTTCTATTTATAATTAAATAGTATTTAAATTTATTTTTCTTTTTTATTTTTTTTTCTTTATTAAAATTCAGCTTATATCTTTTTTTTCTTCTTTTCTTTTCTAAATTTGTTTCTTTTCTTTTGTAAATATAATATTTGGTTTTGTTTTTTGCATAGAAGTAAAGAATTATTTTTTCTGCTCAAACCTAGACAAAAAAAGTTTTTTTTAAAAAAAAATAGGCAATCTTAATAAGCTAACAATAGGCTTATATTAACTTATAAAAGTATCACTAGACAGGTTTAAGTATTAGCTTTTATAATAAGTAAATATATTGTTGAGACAGATTACATATAAACACCAAAGGTTAGCAAATTTGTAGTCAATAAGGCAGCTACATGTATATAAGCTTTCTTTGAATAATAACAATATCTAGAGCTAATTTTTTTTTAGTTTTATATATAGCATAATTGTATAATTATACAAATTTGTTAAATAAAGTAAAACAGAATTGCCAAAATTAAAAAAAAAAAATCTAATTTTGTAACTAAGTTAAAATTTAAAAGTATTTGGAAGTTTTCAAATAAGTAGATAGTTTTAAAGAAAAGTTTTTTTTTTTTTTTTTTAAGCAGTCTTGTTTTTATTTATTTGAACCACTATTTGACTATTATATATATATAATTGACTATATAGTGTAATGCTCTAATCTAAAAAAAACTCACCAAGTATTTACTCAGTGCAACCCACCAAAACAACAATTTATCTCCCTCAGGATCCTTAACTTTTTAAGGATTTCGTACCAATCTAGGTACCTCCCTTGGTCATCAATTGGCTGTTGTCTGCCATGTCAAGCCTGCTTAAAAGAACCATTTCGGCTTCACCAGCGAAGACCATACTGGTTTGGTTC